CTGGCACCGCTCCTGATTTGGGTGGTTTGTGCCTCCCCCGGGCCCAGCGGGTCCCCGGCCGTGTCCGAAGTAACGCGGGGCTGCCGCCTCTTATCTCTGGCTGCTCTGCTTTTCAGCTCGGCAAATGACGCCTGTCCTGCCGTGACTCGCGTGCAGAGCGCTTTTCGATTTAGGAACTCGCCTTGAATCGCAAACACGATTGCGGCGTGGCCTGCCGCTTTCCTGGGGCTGCTTAGGTTCGCATGGCCTGTGTCCTCTGCGCTGATTTTCTTGCGTTAAGCGGGGAGGTATAGCTAGTGCTCTGCTGCAGTCAGGTATGGCCAGCTGCTCAGTTACGGGCAGCAGCGCTCCTCGGTGTTCTTCTAAATGAAAAAAATGCTTCTCTAGATAGCTAAAGTGCTCTGTAAGCCCTACTTTGGCCTAATCTGAGATACTGCATGTATTACCAATGAGAATACATCAGGGCTTGTTGAAGAGGGTAGCGAGGAGCAGTTCTGGAGTATGTAATTAGTATGCAATTAGAACTAATGAGTCAAACCGTAAAGAACTGAGCAGTTTTGGTGGCCTCCTGAACAGATGTGCTCTAGCTACCGCAGACAGATGTTTAGCTTTGAATGCCTTGCAGAGGTAATAGTATGTAGGGCTAGTACTGTGAGTGTACCTTTTCTTCGTGGAGAAGTTCATCGTTATTGTGTTTGAAAGGTTATTAAGTGAGAGAAGAGCCTGATACCGTCTCGCATAAAAGCTAAAACTGTGTTAGGAAAGATGAAAAATGACAGTAGTATTCAGATCTGGACTTAGGATCTTCTACGGACTGAGACTGCTTTCTGCTCTGCAACAGGGTCAGAGTAGGCTTTGCTGTTTTTCAGGGCAAATATATTTATGTCACAGCAAATGCTACATATACAGCCAAATTCTTGGGCAGGATGGAAGCAAACTGCTGTAACTGGTGTAGAGCTCCTGCTGTTACTCTGAGATTTGGCCTAAAATTTTGGTGGCTTTAAAGCAGCTTGAAAGCTTTTTGACGTTAGCAGGTGACTGCTGAGCTTAACTAAAAGTAGGAGCTCTGTGTAGTTCTTGTGCTCTGGTTGTGGTATTGATAAAATAGAATTTTAGGCCTGCATTTCATATGTTCTCAGTCGGTCACTTCTTTGGCCTACAATTTGGACAGTTGTAACAGTGACATAGGCCAGCGCAGCGCTTAGCTTATTATTGACTTAAAGACAGAAGTCTGAGTTAGACTTTTTGATTTTTCCGAGTAATGTGCTTGCTGGGAACTTCTGGCTTAAGAGAAGTGTTAAATGGTGACAAAATGATGGGTTTTTGGCTTTTCAGTTGTAGAACTGTTTCAGATGTCTTTGCCCAAATATGCAGTTGGTCAGGAGGGATTTTTGACACAGACAGATCTTCACATCTTTTTAACTACTTATCTGCTTGTACTTATTATGTGCTTCTTGGCAAAAAAACTGCTGAATTTTAGTTGATCCTGGATTTTCTTATTCAAGGCTTTTAATGATATGCCAAATGGAGTTTATTGGGTTTTTTTAGACAACTTTTGTCTCATTAATTTTATTCTTAAAATATTGCCTTAGAAGTAGGTCACTGAAAACTGGACTTAGGCTGATTTTCCTAAAAGCAGTAGCTGACTGCAATTCTGTAATGAAATTTATGGGGAAAAAATGTATTTTAATGATTGTGGAAACACCTCTGGAAGAAGCTTATGCTCACATTAGGTGCTGTTTTAATTCATAGTTGCACATTTTGAACAGATAATTAGTGAATGAAGACACTGCATGCCTGATATAATGGCTATACTGGAAGGCCAACCTTGCTGCAAGAGTGAGATTTTAATATTCTATCATTTTGTGCAGGCTTCATGGAGCTGTTCTCTTCACGAGGTTTTGAGGGAATCGTTGCTACCTCATTCTTGGAAAATAGCCTTCTTACTTGAGTAGACAGAGGACTGAGCTTGGAGCTGAGCTTTCCAACCATGCAATGTTAGATGAAGAAAGAGGAAAAAATTGTAACCCAAATGAAAAAAATTGAAACCTAAATGAGCTCTTTGGGAAGGTATGTGGTGTATGATAGCAGAATTGGGATTTAAATTCTCCAATCAGTTTCTCGCTGTGTGCTGGAGAGCGAGTCAAGCTTGCATCTAGGTTTCTGCTGTTGGTTAGCTGGCCTTCCCTGGCTTTCCAAGCTAAAGGAGAAAGTCTTACAGGACTATATAGCCCAGTGATTTGGCCTTTTAGCTGGGATGTGGGAAACTGAAGTATGAATTTCTTCTTCCAGTAAATATTTTTATACAGAGTAGATCAGTGTTAGTGGAGGTTCCAAAATACTTAGTAACTGACGGTTTCCTAGACTGTGGGAGATGGAGAGTCAAATCTTACTGTGAATCTGCTAGAGTAAGGACGGGAATCCAGGTGAGGTATCTGATCACCAAACTTTGAATTGGGCTGTGCGGTCCGTCTTTTCCTGCACCTATCCTTGAGGGCCGGTTCATGTCTTGGAATCGCAGGGGGACAAAGACTTGTAGTCTTTACATTTCAGTCATGGCTACTTCTCCCAAGGCCTTTTAGGGAATATCTTAGTGCCAAAATATAGGCTGAGTTAGGTGCTGGAGTGCCAAAGTACCCTTTGAGGACCTGGGCTTTTTTCTTCTTTTGGGCCATGTCAAATCCATTTAAACTAACATAGATTCATGTATGGTAGAGTACGTCGTACTTTCCTGGATGGGACTTACAGTTCCTAAAGACTTGGTTAAGAATTCTTCTTACAGGGGTGATGTAGAATTTT